GCATAGTATCGGTTCCGTTCTGTGACTGTGGCCGGGGGGTTTATGGCTTATATTTTTCATTTTGACCAGCTTTTTATGTGTCTGTTATTTGTAATTAAACAAAATGTTTCCCCTTTATTTGTAAAATGCACACTTTTCTGTGTGCTCTCTTTGGACTGCAGTGTTATTGTAAAACATTGTAAAATTAGTTGTATGGCTTTTGCAGGTACCTGCTTTAGGACTACAGATGAAATGTAGCAACTGTGCTAATTCCATCATATTTACATAATACTGCTGATATGTAGATTAATGTGCACTGTCCTCATTCAATACATTTAATCAACTAAGTTACATGATAGTTGTTACATAGTGAGAGGTGTAAAAAGTATTTGAAAATCAGTGTAGTGACATCCATCAGCGGAGATATCCTTAGCTCAAACATCCTCGTCCTCATCCTGAACAGCGATGTCTTTCTGATTCAACACCTCCAATACACAGGCTTCTTTTTAAAACACGGTGTCCACACCTTCCTTCAGGGCCCCAGCAGACATTAAAAGTGCTTTATTTGAGTTGTAAATAAAGTTGTACATGCTTAGTAAATTCAGTTTGGGGCTCTTAAAGTTTCAGTTTCACCCACTCTTGATTATCTTTCTTTTAACTCTCACTTTCTCTCTTTCTTGATCTTCTTCAGAGAATTTGATTAGGACAATGTTAATCAGTATTATGACACTATTTTTTAAATTCAAAGGCCCGCTTTTCAAAGTTGTACATCAGAATCATCTCCTTCAGTTTGTGTAAACCATAGTTTGCAGCATCAGCCACAATAAAGTATCCCCTTCAGTACGGTACAGGCTGCAAATATAATGTCCCTAAATCCCCAGAAAAATAAAGAACACAATCCTTCTTGTGTGATTTATCGTTTATCTCGTGTTTCCACTGTGGACAACATTCATAATATTATAATTCAGCAGAATTCCCAAAACGTTGCCTTTTTAAGTGAGTGTTACTTTGTTCCACTGAGTGCAGGAGAGACTGCATATTGAGGCTTGTTTCATTTCTGCTTTATGTCGAGAGCACGTCCATGGAGAACACAAACTTTCTAGTCCTGTGCACAGCTCGCTGACTGCGTACAACGAAGGCCTTTGAGCTGCTGCCACTCGTCTCTGCATTTCCCCTTTCTCTGTGCTCCGTCCAACAAAAGTAATGATGTCTTTGAAAACTGCTTCCATTCCTGCCTCTCTGAAAGAGCTGTATCCACGCCATTGGCTTTACAAGGTTTTTATTCTAAAAAGTGGTCAAGCCAACCCATGAAGATACATTAGTATTTAAATAAAGTCTATGACTGCTGGCAATGATTAATGTCTGTATATTCAAGTTGTAAACTCATGAAATATGAACTGGCTCTGTGGGCTTTTCTGCTCTTCATTTTGGTTTATCACTTTTTAAGAGGAAACTAAACCGTTTAGTTTGAGCTGCCAACACGCAGTGAAAACAAAGTGACTCTGCTATTACATTCTCAGTCAATAAATCTGTTGCGTTTGCTGTTACATAATGTAAAAATAATCAGATTCAATGGGCTTTGAAGCTAGTTGTTCATTCAGAGAAACTTATAAAGCAGAAAATGTGGGAACACAAAGTCAATGGAATTGGGGGGAAAAAAAGAGGTAACATGTTGTAGTAGATTATTTGTGTCCCCATTCGCTCCTTCGTGGTTTACCCAGAGGCCATCTGTGTTCCTTGCAGTGTTTGGTTCCAGGGGGGGCTTGTTGGAAACCAGGCCAACCCACATTTGTGTGCTTCACACTGCACCGAATCTCTTCTGCACTGGTATTTCAAAGCTGTCTCTGTACATCTCTCTCTCTCTCTCTCTCTCTCTCTCTCTCTCTCTCTCTCTCTCCCTCCCTCTCTCCACACACACAAACTGCCTCTTTCTCGCTGCTGTGTCCCCTCAGGTATGTGGACAGCACATCAATGGGAACATTAAAGGTTACAAGGCTCAACAAAACGACACATTCACAACTCCAACCTGACACTTTATTGTACACCCTTTGATCCTGCAGTCACATGCGCACACACACACACACACACACACACACACACACACACACACCCTCTCTTTCTCTCTCTCACACTCATGAGCTGTCTATCTCACTCACTTCAGCACCGACTCTCTGTGTCACACACTGTTCAGTGTTATGACAAGAATTGGGAATTAAGGTTTGACTTGTAATTTTTTGGTAAGAGATTTTGTAGTCCATCTGTCCAAAACAGTCAAATGTTTCCTGACTTTTTAGTGAATGTCAAAGTTACATTTCAGGCACATTAGATAAATCAGCAGCCTGTTTAGGCCCATGATAGGCCTTATAATCATCAGTCCTCAAAATCGAGCATAAAAATGATACATTCTTTTTTTATCAAGCAGTCTTGACACTTTCAAGGTTGAGAAAATCTGAGAAAAATATGTCACCTCAGAGAGCCCAGAAGTGATGTTAAAGTGTGGGCCATTTTTGGCACTGACCACCCACACCTCAGCTTCATCTGTCAGAAGCAAACAATAAGAGAAAGGGCACTGGCCTTTTCAGAAAAACAAAACACGCAAAGTCATTTTGATGCCATCCTGTGTTTCATGGCAGGATATTGCATTGTTTTTTGCTTGGCTTATCCGGTATGCTATCTATGAGGAAATAATTATGCTGGGTGTCAGCTTGTTGTTATTCAGCCATTAAGACAGTTGGTTCTGCTGTGCATCTGTGTTTTAATGTGTCAAGGCCAGAGTGAGACTCTCAGTTCATCCCAATTAATTTTCTTGTCTCTAATTATCCAACAGTATGGTAAAGCAACTACATCGCTTTGAATCGTTGAAATTCAAGGGCCCTTAGGTGAACAACGACCGGTCCAGATTGTTAAGATGCGTGTGTATATGTTGTTGGCTGTAGAAGCTATGTAGTGTACCAGGCTGCTCATATTTGTGATGCAAATTCATTCAAGGAGAATACATAAATAAACATGCTTAAAATGCACAGTGAAGAAACAACACCGTAGCACTTCTAGATTAGATGACCACGGCCCTTTGACCAATTAGCCCCTTCCTTCTACTTCCTCTTATTTACCGTCACAGCTAGCCTCCAACCAGGAAATCAAATAATCCTTTTGCACAAATGAGCAGAGCAGCTAAACCCCATCCAGCCTGTGCTGCTGCACTTCTTTTCAGTCTCCCTTCACGCCGCCCAATCAGTTTCAAGGTTCTCCTAATTATTTTATTCATTCATTCTAAGACGATCTCTTGTTGTGGGACTAATGAATGTAATTGAATGGGGATTTCTATTTGGGAAGGACAGTAGGGGGGTAGAGAGAAGATTATCTTGGAAACCTGTACATTTTCTCTTATTTTTATTTTGAAAGTTTTAAGGGCCAGTGCACGTTCAGCCTGCAGTGTGTGCTTGGAAACTGGTAGAAGTCACACAGGGATAAGTTTACTGAACCAAAGAGAAAAAAGTTCAACGTTTTCTTGAGAAAGAGCAACAGTAACTGAGCCAGGGGCTGTTCAAACTACTTGAATGACATTTACAGAATTATCTTTTTCCAGCGTCTTTCTCCATTCACCTTTAACTTGGCTTTCATGATTACACTGCAGAGGTGAACTGATGAAATTACTCCACATGCACACACTCATGCTGATCGCTGTCTACGGCAATGAATAGGTTATTGGTATCTGCCCCATGAATTTCTGTTTGATACTTCAAACTGACAAGGCTGTGAGGTGCTAACAGCACAATGCTCGCAGATTAAAACTCAGCTAATGGAATGTTCCAGCAGTGAGAAATAGTTACTAAAGTGTTTGCTCCGCTCTCCGCCTTTTCATTTTCTCTCAACATACATGGGGTGGGGTCAGGATTTTTCTTCATGGTGGGTCAGGCTGGGGGTTAATTGAACCCACCCTTAGTATTGTTTCAACATTTACACACAAATTGGCAGCAGGTGGGTTAAACACTCTGTTAATGCTCTACCACATCAGATCTGTGTTAACAGATGGAGTTTTAAAATGAGGCCAGTCAAGCATATTCGAACCCCCTCCATGCACGCACCTGCTCACTCTGTAGTTGTGTATGTATGTGTTATATACACAGAATGCAGGCCGTTTTTGATCAGCTCATCATACATATATCTGCTCTTCTTCTTTTACTGGAGTAGATAAAGGGTTAAGTGCGTTGCTCAAAGATCTAGTGGGAAGATATGTACGGCCTGTGTGCCAATTTTAGTCTGATGTACATTTTTGTAGAAAACACTTAACAGATCAAATAAGCAATTAATACTGTATCCCTCAAACATGATTACACAAAGAGAAATGTGGCTATCTTATTTAAATTCAAACATTAAAAAGCACACAATTCAAAGCTTGTAAATACAGACATAGGAGTTGCTTTCCTTGTTATTTGCAGTATTAAAGTTTCCTTTCTGTTTTTTTTTTTTTCTCCACATATTCCAGACTGAATGGCTTGGTTTGTGATTAGCTGGGTGCCTTGGTACACCACAGTAATTAGGCTGTCAATCAAAACCAGATGGCTGGTGGCTATCGCCTGAAAAGTCTTCAGATGAGGCTCCTGTTTGGTTTTGTGCTTGTGGGTCCAGGAGTGATTACAGGAACAAAATGAAACTTTTGAATATTTCATACTGAAGTTATATTACTACCTGCATATTATTACCACCTTTGCTGTTAGGGGGATGAATGTTTCAGCACAATGGCTTGCCCAATTCATTTACATTTAATCGATTCATTTGGCCTGTTTAATTCTGTTATTACATCATGAGAAGAAAGAGTTTAAAAATCACACTTGTTTCATTAAGATGTAAAAATAACTTACAGATAGTATTTTTATAATTAATGACTGTCGGAATTGTATTCAGGTAAAATTTCTGTAGGCTATTTTATGTTAGTTTCAGTTTTTTTATCTCACAGGGCAATGAGTTTTAGTCTCTTATCTCACATATACATAACATCTGTCTCTTTTTCTCCTTAACAGATTGTGTTTGAAGGAATTCGAGGTCCTAAATACGAGGGAGACATTGCCATCGATGACGTGTCCATCACCATAGGAAAATGCAAGCAGGGGAACACTGTAGCCAGCGCAGGTAAGACAGGTAAGATAGACAGTTCTTTGAGTGGAGAGACATAAAGACCTACAGAAATACAGAAAGGGATCTGTGATTTACTTTTGATCTCCTCGTTGTCTATCTATGCATCTATGCAACGGATGTTCAATTAAAGAAGGACTTTAAAGAAGCTGAAACAGAGCTAAACTAAACTTAATTGAACTGAATTGGTTTCAAATGAAAAGCAATACATTGAGAATCAGAATAAAAGGTTGAGGCAGGATTTTTAAAGGAACGGGAAATAGAGAACTTAATGTTCTCCTTATTGTTCTGGAGGTGTGGGGACATAGCTCAGACAGAAAATGATGTCAGTGGGGGGGCTTTGGGAAGACAAGTGGACACCACATGGCTCCGGCATGCAGGTGATTTGGAAGCGGCATTATCATTTGTGCTCCTTCCTCTACCTCTATTGATTTATTTACCTACCCAATCTTTTCTCTTTCTTTTCATCCTCTGAGTTTAAGCACCCCATCCCTGCAGCCTCACTTACCTTCATTATATCCTCTCTCTATTTCTGTTACCTTCTGTTCCTTGCCAGCAACTATTTATCTGTATATCTCTCCACCCAGCCTTTTAAAAGCTTCTGTTATTTACCTTTTAGATAGAAAGAGAGAAAGAAGGTAATTATGAGAATTTAGAGAAAATCAACGAAGTGAATAGTAAGAGATTTCTTTGCTGAAAAAACCTTGATGTGACATTATTGTGGCATCAGTCCACCATAAGACTTACTTCATAAGTTTCACCAAACTGACATGTTGGATGAGATGAACGTGCCCATAAATGCCAGACCTTTTTTTTCCGACAAAAAACTAACGTTTGTGACGGAGCACTTTGACACAAGTCTTGAACCAGCAACAAACAAGTGAGGTACGTGGAATGAGTGCATGTCCATGTAAGCGTGTGAAGAAATAGCCTGAAGAGCCGGACTGTGAAGGAAAGACAGAGAAAGAGAAAAGGTCAAAGACAGAGAGTGAGCAAAGGTGTGTGTGGGCTTGAGAGGGGAAAGAGACATAGAGGGAAGAAAGAGAATCTGATACTAAAACATGCCAGCAGGTAAGCTACAGTAACAGCTGCCCTCTGCCAGACAAATACACAAACAAATATGCACAGATGCATAAACATTAAATCATTATAAAACTATTGATGCTTTGCTTTTGTCTACAGACAAGCCCAAAGCAGCTGGTTGGCACAGTTCTTTTAAAGTGAACTGTTTTTTTTACCTATAGGGTGAAATGGAGACAACTCATATTTGTAACTCTGACTGAACTAATAACTGATCTTTTAAATGTTCTACTACCAATTAGTTGGACTTACTTTTACAAAGAGATTAGTCTCCCCGTTAAAACATGAATGCAGTTTGCCAAACAAGTTGTGTATTGTTTTTAAGTGCGCCCTCTATATTAGGACTCTCAGTTTTGATAAGGGTAGACTCAAAAACACATTTTAGGTGGAGAGAAAAATATCTCACATTGAGCAACCCACATCTAATGGGAAGAACAAAATGCAAAAAGCGTAGTGTGTTAGGGATTTCAATGCGACAACATTATGCAGCAACATGTGGTGAGAACCTTACATGGTTTTATTCACTTTTTGGGACATAGGAAAACACAAGAGCTGTGGAAACAACACGAAACAGCCAAAATGAGAAAGTGAATTATTGAAACCTTGCTTTTACCTCTTCAAAACCCCCAATGTGAGGCGTGTGTGTGTGTGTGTGTGTGTGTGTGTGTGTGTGTGTGTAGTAGTGAGAGATCTCGCACATATGTGCATGTAAAGGCACTGGCGGATAGAGTGAATAATGGATTAGGGTGTAAACAGGAAGAGGAAAGCTCTTGAGCTCTCTGAGTGTGTGCGTTTGTGTGTGTGCATGTGTGTCCTGCAGGTTTGTGCAGACAGAGACACACAGTGAAGACAGATGGGTAATTATCAGGCAGGAGACTGAAGACTTGCTGCCACTGTGAGAAACACAAATGCCTCTGTCTGGGGTACAAAGTTTGCAGCCTTGGAGTTGGTGAGGAAAAGTGAGGATTAAAGGAGGATTAAAATTAATTCATGTTTACTAGGTACGATGAAATCAAAAGGAATATGATTTAGAAGAAAATGCAAACTCAATTTTAGCATACCTTCTATTGTAATAAACGCGAGATGCAAAGGGTCTCTAACAACGTTGGAGAGTCTAAAACTCTGTATACCTTCCTCTCGCCGGGTTTAAAAAGCTGTGTGTATTCCTGACTCTGTTTAATAATCCTCTATCACAGTAAAACTGGGCGAACATGCAGGAGCCTCGTTTCCACTCCACTTCCACCTCATATGGAGGTAGAAAAACGTCTGTTGTTTCAGTACACATATTTGTATCTGTATATCTGTGCTATCCTGATCCACCACTTATTACACCTTTCAGTGGAAAAAGCGGTAAAAACAAAGTGCCATTCCATCCATTACACAACATCACAGAGCCGACCATTCTGCACAGCTGTGGTGCTATTTATAGCAGCAATGCAACTCATTCAAAACAAGTAAACCACATTCGCAATAATACATTAGACTTGATTATAAATTATCAGAGGAATGATCAATGACAAATTTATCAACCTCATAATGAAGAAGATATTTACAAAGTGCGTATCAGTGGAGTGAAATGAAACCATCATTAGTAGGAGGCTGGGACGTGGACATATAACTCGAAAGAAAGATCCATTTTAATGTATAGTTCAAATGTATGCTAATTCATTAGAATTGGACAGATGTTTAACAGAAGTGTCAGTGATACTGGCAGAAACTATTAATCTAAGGTTTCAGATCTTACTTTATTCATTTGAATGAACCTTTTCATATCAGCATGAGAGCAGCTACTGTATGTGAGGGGAGACAGGTTATTCCTATACATGAAGGTTCCTGTATGTGCTGATACATTTATTTTACATTTGCAAACTTTAACAATTAATTTGATCGCTGTTGCCTAGAAACTTTGTGTATAATTTTGAGGTGACTAAACAGAAAAACAGACATGACAGATATGCACGGTGCGATAGTGTTTTGAATGCACAAGAAAAAAAAAACTCTCTCTCTCTATGTGTGTGGTATGTGTGTGTGTGTGTGTGTGTGTGTGTGTGTGTGTGTGTGTGTGGTATGTGTGTGTGTGTTTGTGTGTGTGCAAATGTGGTATGTGTGTATGTGTGTGGTATGTGTGTGTGTGTGGTATGTGTGTGTGTGTGTGTGTGCGTGTGTGGTATGTGTGTGTGTGTGTGTGTATGTGTGTGTGTGTGTGTGTGTGTGTGTGGTGTGCGTGTGTGTGTGTGTGTGTGTGTGTGCATTTCCCAATAATGCTTTAGTGAATCTTGCAGGAGGTGGAGGGAGAGTGGGTGAGTCTAGCAGCGTTACCCAGCTGATACATCACACCTGTGACACACATGTACACACACACATACAAACTGACATTTGTGCATTCAGCTGCAAGTATTTTCACTGGAGACTTGCAAACTTATACACTCACAGGGATGATGAATACTCTCATTTGACAGCTGTAATATCTGTGTGCTTATACTCACATGCACATGCGCATGTAGTTCAGGTTAATTATGTGCACTCACTGTGGACTGTTATCCTACAGTCCTCCACAAATGAAAGATGATTACCTCTGACATGTTTGGTGCAACTCTGTCAGCATAAATCACAGAGGAGCTGCAAGGCGCACCTGTCTCTAACTGTACTTTTACTATATCCTATTTTCTCTGAACAGTTTTCCTCTTCATTTCTTTCATCATGTTTATCCACTGCATCCAGTTCTGAAAATGTGCCTAAGTGACAGTAAAAGTTGTAGCTACCTTAATCAAGGGAGACTGTCTGCATCAGAAATATGACTGTAGAGGATTGTGCAATACCTTATGTTATTTACCTCTTTAATGAATAATAATAATTTATACTTTATTAATCCTGCGAGGGGAAATTCGGTTAGAAATTAAGACAAGGCTGACAGTCAGGTGACAGTCTGACCTGTTGGTTGTTGTCTGTGATAATGGATATTTCAACACAAGACTTCCATCCTTGAGTTGAGCTTTAAGTCCCATGTTAAAGAAAAAGTTGGTATTGCCTTCTCAAAGTCTTGGTTGAGTCATTTAAGTCAGGTTTAGGTATGTTGCTTTGTAACCTGCCACAGGAAGAGGGGAACAACGATTGTGTGAGTTATCTTATGGGGAAAGAAAGAAACCATGAAAGTTATTTTTAATCCGGTGGTGAAACAAAATAAAATCAGAATATATCTTTCAGTCAGTGTTGTTTCAAGATTATACTGTGACATTAACTGAGACATAACCTTCATGTGAACAATTCATCCATTTCAGTGTGTGAATGCTGCAACGCCTGAGCTTTTCTAATACATGGAAGAAGATACGATTTAATTAGCTTTAAATTAAAGGTTAATTAAATGTTTTCACTTTCAGATAAGTTGTTTGTATGATTTCTATAAGAGTATTGTACCTTGTAAAATCTGTATTCATTTGTGTTCTTAGCCCTTTGAGTAACCCGGTCAGTACAATTCTTACATTTTATTACAAGGACTGTATTAAAATAAACACAGGGATAAAAGCATTTGAGACTGTCCTGAGTGAATCAGTTTACCTCAGATCATTTGGATATGGCTGGTTAAACAGACAGTGATTTTTTCGTTGGTTGCTGCACTAATAAAGCAAAAAGATGCAGATATACAGGGCCAGATTTATGTTAGTGGATTAAAATGCCTTTAATGTCTTAACTATGAAATACAGTACACGGAGTCATCGACAAAATACACATCTACATTATAAAACACGTTGTACTGCATGAAGCTTTTTATCCGCTCAATTTTCTAACTCTTTACTATCATGACAGTACAGATAGATAATCCATCAGGTATGGATCTGACTGCACCTGAATCACTAACACACACTCACTAGAGAGGGAGAGAGAGAGAGGGGAGAGAGAGGGGGGGGGGACTCCACTGGGCAGACATGTAAAACACCATGCTTACTTCAATCTACCTGTGTACCATCTATTCAATAGTGTGTGCGTGTGTGTGTGTGTGTGTGTGTGTGTGTGTGTGTGTGTGTGTAGGTGTGGGTGTGTGAGAGAGTGCTCTTATATGAACATTGATTTTCTGCCTGGAGGACAGACACTTGATATGAAATCATATTGATCTTTGAAATACAATAGCCACGTTTTATTCATGTTTTTGAGCAGCTTGTACGAGTAATGATATGGATAAAAAGAGAGACTTTTATTATTTACTGGATATATAAAAGAAGAGAATGTCTTTGTGTACTGCTCTCATGCAGGACTCAAGGATTTTGACACTGTTAGAAATAATTGGAAAAAGAAACTGCTAGTTTCTCTTCTGTATTAAAGAGTATTCTGTATCTATGTACCTACTTTTGTACCTTCACAATAGCTAAAGTCAGAAAAAAGTCTGTCTGTTTTCATGTACTGCTCCTCCTTGCTCCCTCTACGCTCTGAGTCCGTCAGCTGCACTCTGTTGAGCCCACACTGTTAGACCCCATGTGGGGTCTAACAGTGCTCTGATTGGTCTGCCGATCCGCTCTGTCGTTATTGGTCAGTTGTTCAGCACGCTTCTCAGAAATTTCAACATGAGCTGCAGGGCTTGCCACAACGAGCCAATGGGCTTAGATCAGTGATCTCACACTGACAATGACTTCGGACTGACAAATTTTTATCGAGGAGGGCTAGAACCGAGCGTTACATGCAGCTAATGCTACAGCTAACAGGAGGACGTAGGAGTAGCCGCGCTTCCGTGGACTTTGAATTTTTGGACATAGATGTGCCTAAACATGCACAGAATACATGGAAAACACACTAAAGAGCATATAATAATATGGGACCTTTAACAATAACGTTAGATTACGTTTTGTAACTACATTAACCTGTAGAAAGGCATCAAGAAGAAACAATCCATCACATATAGGTGATGAAAGAATCAATCACCCATAACTTTTCATTAAAGTCTCAGCACTGTCATGTCTTTGTAACTCTTTCCTGTTTACTCACTCACCTCCGTAATCTTTGTTTTTAGGTTTGCCCTTCTTTCCATTTCAACTCAATTGTTCTAATACTGTTTTTTGTGACAGTGAAAATAGTCTGAACTTTTTGCATCACAAGCACGCTAAGCCTCAGGCCTCGAGGCAGAGAGATAAAAATACATGTAGAGTTACCTATTAGCCAGGGGTTAATGTTGTTTCAAGTTTATTCTGGTGTTCGTTGAATTCAGAATACAAGGGACAGATACAGACACATGGAATGGCAGTGACCCTGTCCTTCTCCTTTACTTTCTTGTGGAACAAATTATGAGTAAAGTATTTATCTGCATGACTCAGATGACAGGAGTTTGGGGAGTGCTAGAATCAAACAAGAGGTAACATCCAATCAATGAATCAAATATTTATTTTTGAAATTACACCAGATCATAACCAAAGCTATCACAGCAGGTGTAGTTTCAACTCTTTGTTATATTATTGAGAGAAAATAATTAATTAACCCCCCCATGTGAAAGCAGTTGGCAGCAGCAGTGGGAAGGAAAGCTTCCTTTGAGCAGACTCGTTGGTGAACAGCCATCTGCTGGGACTGGATGGGCCGAGTAGGTGGGATGAAGGGAGATGAAGGAAAACAGGGACAGATACAGATACACAGCGAGGCAGAGAGAGCATGTGATGCAACAAAACTAACAGATAAGCTAGACCCAAAGTAGTCATGCTCCTAATAACAGTAGAAATAAAACTAGTGTAAGCAATAATGACAAGAATAATTACAACAAAGTGTGACTGATCATAGTAGCAAAGAGAAATTAATCTAAAGTTTGAAACTTAGGACGTCTCTAAGTATTTTCATACAGTTCAATTTAATTCAGCTTCATTCCAAAGCATATGATAATTAGAATACAATGAATATAGTAAAGAATAGTAATAATCAATAATTCAGTAGTAGATGAATAATGATATTATAACCATCCTCAGATTTCAACTAAGAAATAACTCATGAGAATTAATGAGACATATGTGTTGTTGTTTTTAAAATCTGTTTCCACAGTTCTGATCGGTGGATCTCACTCGCTCCCATTGGCCAGCTGGCTGACCTTTGGCCTCTCCTGCTTCCTGTCGCTGCTCTACAGATGATGAGCACTTCCCACAGCACCTTTTGTCTGTAGTGACAGACACTGCCCTGACTCGCGCTCTTTTACTTCTTTCTCAGCCCTCCTCCTTCCTTTCCCCTTTCCTAATCTCGCCCGTCTCCCTAAGTGTCTTTCCTTCGCCACACATCCTTCTATCCTTCATGCATCCGTTTCATCCTTCTTCTTCTTGCTGCGATAAATGGTAACACAAATTCTTTGTCTTGTTCTTCTGCTCTGCTTTCTTTGAACATATCCCCCTTAAGACTTCTAGCATAACCAACTGACGCTCATACTGTATTTAGGATAATATAGTTAATGATCTTTGACTGTCAAAACCTCATACTCTCTCTTTTGTCGCTCTATTTAGTCTTATTAGATTGACTTTGTCCATGTCCGTGTGTCACTTTGTCACCTTCTCCTCTCCGTCATCAACCTTCTTCATCCTTATGTGCACCTTCTCATGTACTCACCTCGTCCCAATCCCCCAGACACACCAAAGTGTCGGACACTCTACCAAAGATGACAAAGGACCTGAGGGAATAAAGCGAGGAAACGGGGGATTCCAGGAAGAAAGTGAAAGACGTAGGAAAAAGAAGGAAAAATCCTTCAAGACTGTCTCCCTTCTGTCTCAACCTTCGAGACTGTGGGAGCCACTGAATGATAAAGAGACAGATGGGAATATAAACTGATGGACGAATGACAGAATAAACAAATGAACTGTGAGGGAAGAACAAAGCGGACGCAGAGGGGAAAAGAAATGTGCTCCTGGTAGCCTCTCTGTTTGCCCTCTGCTCGCAACAAGAGACAAACCTCAGTGCGGATTATACGTGTACATTTATCTCTATATATATTAAATATAACAAAGTTTAAACTAAAACACAACTAGGACAGTGGAGGACTTTACAAAGTGGAATTAAAGAAGCACAACGTTTATACAACCTCTGCTGTTCCTTTGGGTTTTATTCTACTTATTATGTCGTGTTGCAATTCGTCAGACCTTTTCAATGTTTTTGATATTTTGCTTTTCTTTTTTTTTGTTTTTGTTTATAACATTATGAGGGTCAAAGACAGAGGGTAATAAAGTATTATATTAATATTAATGAGAGGCAGAGACGCTGATTTGAGATCTAGAACCGAATGTGAGCATGAGGAGGGAAATATGACCCAGAAGCCTCTTGGATTGAAACCTCACAAAGTTTTCTTTACAAATACCGAACACACATACATACTGGCACACACACACACACACACACACACACACACACACACACACACACACACACACGCACACACACACTCAGTTGTCTTTGCTGACATCACAGCAGGGCCCTCAGCTCAACTTCTGCCTCAAATACATGTCTGCTCTGTGATTGACCCAGAAGGAAAACTATGGCAGATAGTTGCAACGCTCTCATTTCTTCTCCCTCACCATGAACTTCCATTCAGAGGACAACATGACTCAGACGTCTGAAATGATTGACCACAGTAGAGTAGTCGGACATGTCTCCAAAGAAAAGAAAAGAAACACTGTGTGCTACAAGAGGCAGGAAAGAGCCTGGAGGTCAGATGAATAATGAATGATCAGAGAGCTCTTCTTTCTCCACAGGTTATTGAATGTCATGTATGAAATCTTCATACACATGTGAGCGAGAGGTGGAGAAGACTGTCAGTATCAGCAGGGTGTGCAGTGTGGATTGCTTCCTCTCATGAATTAATTACATTGAATGTCTGTAGTGGAAAACAATTTCATAATCACATAGATATGATTGTTAAAAGTGAAGCAATACTAATATCTATAACTCTATATACCATTCATAACGTTTCATGAATTAAAGCTGTAGCTTTCTTATCTGTCCAGGAGGTGGTACGTTTGTTTTGCTGCGTCATACTTCAGCTTATGTCTAAATAACTTTACATCAACCAGTCGACCTGCTTCGCTAACTGAACGGCTTATTATACAGTTATGACTCTTTGCTGATTGCTATACATGTGAATTAATCATTTAAAGACCATATGTTTGTTCGTGTCATGTCACACTGATGCCACATACCTGTTTTTATAAATTATGGTCGTTAATCGTATTACTGATTTTCAAATCAAAACCATGACACTCTGCGACTATGCTGGCTCATCCAGTGTGGTGTAAGAGCCAATTTATGTAGTTGCATTGCTGTGTACGGTTTGTGTATCCTCTACAATGGTGAGCTTTTAGTTCCCGCAGAGATATGTGAGCCTGTTAACAGATCTGTAACCCCACAGAGAGTAATGCATACAAAGAAAAACATGAGAGCCCTTTGAAAACTGTATGTAAGCTCTGTCATCATTTACTTCAGTATGATGACCACAGGCTGTGTCTGAATGATGCAAAGCTATGGAAGATTTTAATTTAAGTGACATGCTACACTGTAAATGTAAATGTGGCATTCTGCAGTCACATACATGATATGTTTATAATAGTTTCCTCTGGATATATTTATGCTCAATGCCTGTCATATTACCAAAATGCAACATTGCAAAGTGTTTTTGTTATTCTGCATTCACAGCAATTCCTCCATGTCACATGGTTAAGTGAATCAGCAACAGTGAAATATATATCAGTTATACATTATTGTAAAAATGATTTAGTACTAAAGCAGCATAATATAGGTCACTTTGTACCTGTAAAGTACTAAACACACTTTGCAAATATCTTTAAGCATTGATGTGCATGGCATTTCATCATGCTGTCAAATGTTTTTTTTAGATTGCCTCATCTTTCAACGGCAGTAGTAACCTGGGAGACACTACCATTGTAGTTATTGCATTTGGACGTGCGTCAGTTACAAAGCAGACAGAACGCTGCTGTAACCTTTGTTATGTCTGCCAAACTGACATTTTGTTCTATGACAATACCGAGCGAAAGTTGCATTATTAAAACCACCTAAGAACAAAATGTCAAAATATGACATCAAATACACTCGTGCAAAATATCCAACTCATTGCCAAGCTGAAGCTGTCTGTGTGTGAACTAATGAAGCAACAGATTTCTTTTTCACTAGTGAGTATTAAAAGACATGTGGCCACTAGTTGTCAACTCATACAGGATTAAGAATTTCTTCTTCTTCACAATCAACTTTAAAGATTATTCACATGAAAAATAATGTTTTTCATAAAAAATAACTCACATGTAGGATAGATACTAGGAAAGGTTTGCACGCATCATTCACTATACAGAAAATGCTTAAAGCATCACTGATTTTTAACATCCATCATTCCAGTAGAAGAAAAATACAATCAAGTGACTTATAATTTATTTAAAATAAAGAAGTCAATTCAAATTATTTTTAAAAAGAAAAACAATCAAAATGTCTCATCTATTTGACCTTCTTTGACAGAGCGCAAACCAACATCTTTAACATTTTGACCATCATGCAGAGCTGTAACTGAGCACAGCGAGAATCTGTAGCACACCCGTACATTCATGTAAAATAATCAATAGAAGGTTTAAGATCCATCAAAACATGTTTGTCTTAAACAGCATACTGAGAACAAATCTCTATCTTACCTAAAAATAATACCTGCACTATTCTTCAGTTTGTTAAAAATACAAAGATAGTGTCGACATTTATTCTTAATAAAATTATCTTTTCATGTCATATGATGGCATGTCAAAAACAAAAATGTAATTTTACTTCTGGTAATCTGAAGGCCTCTCAATATTTAATGATTATTTAAAAAAGAAATGTTTTTAAATTAAATACGATCCAGAAAAAACAGAAACCCAAGCTTTCTTAATTGTTTTGTAGAAGATGTGAGAAGAATGGCCTTCTTTTTTTTTTTTTAAATCAGTAGGTGACAGTAAATTAACTCAGTTGATTTAGTCAGTCAATCACAACAGTGATAAATGTTGTTTTCCAAATTGTGGTATCTTCTTTTTCCTATTAAATGTTCAATGTGTCACAGTTAGCAACATGCTAAATCATGTCTTTACTAAGACCCTGTAGAGCTGCACACGTACACACACACACACACGTACACACGTACACACGTACACACACACACACACACACACACACACACACACACACACACACACACACAGAGAGAGTTTTCTGCCATCACAGTGGTGAAAATAAAATACTGGAATGACAAACTGACTGTTAATGTCCCATCTACTGTCTGCACTGACTTGAGTTTATTGGAGTTGAGAAAGCCTATCTTGACAAAGCGTCATTGTTAAATGTACAAGCTGCCAATACACTGAGCAACTGGTGTGGAAATAGTTCCTCCTAGCAACATTACAAAGTTTGATATTATTCTCACTTTGTAAGAAATAAGATGATGTGAAACTTTCGCTGTCTGGGTGCTGATAACACTCCAGGTTAATGCTTCTTTGATACTAAATAAATTATTGGGGTATTACAGCTTTGGTTTAATGACCAGATTCACCTTTTTCACAAAACAATGTGACCCTTGCCTGGGTTCCCCCAAAAAGGTTCAGAACAGTTAACATTTGTTCAAGTTAAATATTTTCAGTGAGGAAAAAAGTACCAAAAATACAACAATGGAGAGACTCTTTGAAGTGTACAAACTGAATCTCAGTATTTCAATGGGTCGTTTATCATTTGACCAACACATGATGGTGTCTCTTTTTTCTGGTATCTAATGTTTCACCATGCAGCTTCAATGTGATACGCCTTAAAAGCTTATGAATTTCTTTTGAAGGAATCACCTGACTATTGAAACTCACTGTGATGAGCATTGTCTTCACATTCACTTTTAAGATACAGTGCATCAATCACAGTGATGGAACACATAATGACTGTCCAGCGGAGGTTTCCATGCCATACAACAGTGTATGTTTGGATCCATTTTGGAACAAAAGTTGTTGTGCACTTTTAATGAAATGCACTTTGAATGTGAGGTGAAGGGAGAAGGGTATCAACCAGTGCTGGTTGTTGTATATCTCTGTCATGTTCTGAAGTATTTTAGAGGAAAAATATATTTGAAATATGAAAGGTTCAAATAAACATTTGTGAAACAATTATTCGGCTTGTGTTTAACGGTATTATAACTTCTTAAAGTTGGCTCATTTTATGATGTAGAGTTATATACAGTAGATAACTGCTATTTCCATAACTGTACATTTATACTGAAGCTACATCTAGTTAGCTTAAACTAGCATTAACAGGGGAACAGCTAGCTTATAGTACGAGAATGAAAGAATCTTCCCACTTTAAATTAAGACTGTTTAAGCCATAAGTAAATGTGTGTTTGATTAATGCATTTATTTATCCAAATAAAAACGGTAATGTTTTACCAAGGGTCAAGATCAGGCAGGGGTGGAAGGTAGTCGTACATTTACTTATGTCCATGAGAAGTATTGTACTTCACTACCTTTCATATAGCACAGCAGATAAGAATACAAATTGAATCAACAAAAAGTCAAAAACCCATCTTCAGCAAAAGTCCAAACAAAGTCCAGAAACAGTAAAACAAATCACAGGAAAACTCACACTTTGAGCAAACACATTAAAACTGGTAAGAAGATGTATGACCTGACAACAAAAGGGAAGGAACACTGAGACTAAATAGACACACGGGTAATCAGACACAGGTGAGACTATAGACACAGGTGAAGACAATCAGGGAAGTCAACACTGGAGGGAAACCAGACAAAGAGAGGAAGTAAGTCAAGACCAGAAACACTACGGATATACTAAGGGAAACAAGCAACGCTAGGATAGGAAATTACCAAATAAAACAGGACATGACAACAAAGCAACAAAACAAGCGTATACCAGGACATAGCATCCGTTACTGAGTAAAAGAAAATATCAAATGAACATCAAAACAATTAAAGCCAGCTGCACAAAACTGGCCAGATGATTGGCTGACATCCATCACCTGACTGAAGAGACATGTAATGGAGCAGCCACGCTCGAACACGAAGCATGGAAGAGGCGAGTAACACCTAAAGCCTCGGTACAAAGATTAACTCGATGAACAATAAATAACTTACTGGCCACAGTGAAGAAACCAGTTGGCTATGCTATGGAGCAGAGCCAGCTCATTGACTCCAAAATTGATGGCTGCATTGCAATTAATAAAGGTTTCCATTTAATGAAGCAACTTGCTGAGATTCATAGCCTTTCGCCTAAGAGTAGATAAAGATATGATAAAACAACTTTCCTACCCCTCTATTTTCTTTTGATATCATCCTCATGTTCCGAGAGAAAAGGATGGATGGCACGTGTCATGAATGCTTTTCTCAGGAATTAAAAAATTACTAACAAGTTAATCGCTTCCCACTAATGACTTTTCTGCCAAGGCTGCCAGCTCATGCATCCCTAATTTGTGAGATGTGTGCGTAAAAAGTAAAATGAAGTCACACAAACAGCTTTCTCCCATCTCTCAACACCTCAGCGTAGGATGTCACTACAAAGTCATGCCATCACAACGAATACTGTAATCTAATCTCATTTACACTCCAAGGGCGCGCAGTTATCTTCTCACTTGCACTGACATTATCACTGACTCTAAATGTGCTTTGCAATTGCTTTCTGTTCCTACCAATTTGTTTTTGTCTTTTCCTCCTTAGCCTTTGTTGTTTTTCTTCTCGGGCTGTCCCCAATATCTTTTCTATCACAGGTGAAATAGACACAAAGATAGCACAGAAATATAAACCTGCCAAATAATATAGGGCGGGTATGAAGAATCTGTCTGGTTTTGACCTTTGTAACAGGCTGTTCCTGTTTAGCTTGCTTATATCAGTCTGAAGGCTGGGTAAAGTCATAAGTGTCAGATAGTTGAGCTTTCAGGTATTTCTGCTCAAGTCTTTTAATTTTGACTTCTGAGTAGAGAGATT